CTATCCTGGACATTATTCTTATTTGATTAGAGATGGTCAAATAAACTCATCTTGATTAAATTCACTATTAACATATAAGGCCTTCTCAGTGATATACATTCTTTTCAGATATAGGTTATTTGAATTTAATACCTTATTGACAAACTGTAAGAAATTTGGCTTATCTTTAAAAGCTACTACTAACTTAATAAGTAACTCATAATTATGTCAGTAAGAGTTAAGGGAGGTCTTTTGGAGACAAGAGAAAGAGATACAAGGTGAGAGAAATTAGAAGAAAACATTTTTTAAAAAGGAATAAATAAGGTACAACAAAAGAGCAGGATATGAATCATGGGAATTTTTAATTATTTAAGGGATGATAAACTGTTTTATGAGGCTTAGCATCATACCAAAGGGCCATGCATGAACTGTAGGCTGGCACAGCTACAGCCAGTCAGTGATAATGCTGAATGGTATTTGTTCCATTTGAATGCATAGCCTTCAACTATTGTTTGTACAACTTGTATATTGTCCTGAGATACATGGATTATATAATATATATATATTTCGGGATTTCACTGCTTGGAAGCTGGTACTTGATTATATTAAAAGTGTCAACTGTTGCCCGGTTTGGCTCAGTGGATAGAGCGTCGGCCTGTGGACTAAAGGGTCCCAGGTTCGATTCTAGTCAAAGGCATGTACCTTGGTTGTGGGCACATACCCAGTGGGGAGTGTACAGGAGGCAGCTGATTGATGTTTCTCTCTCATTGATGTTTCTAACTCTCTATCCCTCTCCTTTCCTCTCTGTAAAAAAATCAATAAAATATATATTTTTTTAAAAGTGTCAACTGTTTATGCTTTATAAACATAAAATGAGTTTTTATTTTGATTATATGTGTATATGTATATAAAAAACTTCAGAAGATAACGTTGGATTTTTAAAAATCACTGAAATATTAGCATTATAAAGTCTATTTGATAAAAATTTATAGAATTATCTCAACATTAATACTCAGTTTATAATCATGGTTAAATTTTGTCAAGTTTCTGAAAATATTTACTATGTCTCATTGGCTTCAAATGACAGCACAGTCTTTTTCTGGCCTTCCTTTCTGGGAACTTATTAAAACCACAGATTCTGCGGCCTTGCTCCCACAGATTGTCATTCTTGAGCTCTGTGATGGATGCCTAGGAATTTTGATTTTGAATTTAGTTCTCAGGTTATTGTGATGCTGCAGTCAGATTTAAAACAGTATTCACTGCTCTAAACCTTAAAGGAATGGCAATTATTTCCTCTGGCAATGAATCAAAATAAATAGGTTTAAGAAAAATCTTCATAGATTATGGGGATCAGAGATCCTTGAATTTACTGTTCTAGAAAAAAAAAATACCCTTTGCACAAGTCTTACAGTAGATTTAACATTATAGATTTGAACAATTCATGAGCAGCCTTGAAGGTGATTTTGAAATGGCAGGGATTTGAATTACTTTGATAGAGAGGCTGCTGTGTGAGTGAATTATTTAGCTATTGAGCAGAGTACATCACTCAGCATCCATGTCTTAATGAGTCTTTGTTGTTCTCTCCTAGTCACAATAACTTCCACTCAGTGTCTGAAATGGACATATACCTTTCAGTTACTTTATATATATCATTATCTGGGAAAATGTATTTTGTGTAGGTTTTCTTGAATTTGATAAAATCATAGAAGTCTCAGGAATGTCATACGTCTGCTGCTTTTTCTTGTCCAAATGAAGGTATTACGTAGCTAAACTGATGCTGGGATTTGTCTTCTGCTTCACATCTACTTCTCCTCACCTTTTCCTAATGTGAACATTTTGTACGTGTTAATATATTTATTAACTGTTCCTCTTATTAAAACAAAAAATTATGATATTAATCATTTTGGCTGCTTATAATTTAAAATGAATGCATTTCTGTAAACTGATAGTCTCAATTAACATTGACACTTTGCCTTTTTTTTTTTTTCCTATTTCTGAAACAAAATGCTTTCTCTTCTTTTAAAAGGAATTCCAGACCTGAACTACCAGGTGGATGTTTTCCTTGGGGCTTAGGGTATTCTGAAATCACTTCAGCGATACAAAAAAAAAAAAAATGGATAGATCTAAATCAAGCTCTTAGGCTTGTACCCCTATTCTAGAAACTTACAGGGATGGAGGAATGCCTAGTTTCTCTTCAGCTTCTAGAGTTCACTCAGCTCCATCTTTCTAGTTAGTTGTTTTTTGTTGTTGTTGTGTGTGTTTTTTTTGTAATTCTCACCTGAGGATATGTTTTTATTGAATTTGGAGAGAGAGACAGAGAGACATAGACATAGACATCAACATTGAACATAGATCTGCTACCTCCCATATGCGCCCTGACCAGGGATTCAACCCGCAACACAGGTGTGTGCCTGACAGGATATGGAACCCGTAACCTTTTGGTGTACGGACAATGCTCCAACCAACTGATCCACCCAGCCAGGGCTTTTTTAGTTTTAACATCAGTCCAACCTCTCTCTTTCCTATGTTTCTCATATTCTCATCAGCTTTTGGATATCTTCCTTTGTGAAATCTTCTTGGCTTTTTTCTTCTTCTTAATTTTGTTAGGTTGTCTTTTTGTTAGTAATTTGATAAATTCTCTACATATTCTGGATGTCTCCATTAGTTTTTGAGCACTGACTTGCTTTCTGCCCTACGCTATTGCTCCTAATGGGAAATTATATTTGGAAACCAAACATCTGCCTGCTAAGTGTGCCCATTACTACTGCAGGGTTCTTGCTTCTTTTGGTGGAAGGGCTAGGATGGTACTTTATATAGGCAGAAGGGCAGACAAACACAAACATATATATTTATTTAATTAAATTTATTTTGATACCTTCTACTCATCCCTAACCTCGAATTCTATATTTATAGCTTCTTTCTCTGACATTGAGAGTCCTGATATTTACTTATTTGTACTATCTGAAATATATAACCAACAACAAACCTACTATCAAGGATCCTGAATGAGGCTTATGTAATATAATAGAGCTATTGCGGTTATGGGAGCAAGAGACTAATTTGGGAGTCCGTGTAAGAGTGATTAAGTTCTTGACTCCATTTTTCAGTTTTGAGATGTTCATCATGTAAGTTTACTACTGGTAGGCTCATTTTTCTTATCTACAAAATGAGGATGGTAATAATATCTACCTTACAGAGGTTAATTTATAAAGCTTGACAGATGGTAAGTATTGAGCAAATGTTAATTATTATTATTAATATTATTGTGTTTTAGTAGTTTTAATCTGAGAGCAATACATAGTAGCCTAGGCATAAACCATTATTTGAGAAATACTTGAAACAGGTAAATAGAAAGGAGATCATAGATACTAGGAACATTTTAGATGAATGTTATTAATGTTTTAATTTTATATAGCTTTTAAAGTATTTGATATGGTTCTTTATGCTGTTTTACTGTATTCATGTGTTCATTAATATCAATAGTTAATCTGACAACTGAATGCAACTTTATAATTTCCAAAGCGCTTTCACATTATCGAATGTGATCCTCAGATCCATCCTGTGAGATATTTCCATTTTCGGAGGCCCAGAGAGATTAAGTAATGCATTGACAATCACATAGTTAATAAAAGGACCAATTTAATGTTAGAATTTCCATGTACCTATTCTAGTGCTTTCTTTTATTATATCACTAGAGGCCCAGTGCATAAAATTCTTGCACTTCGGGGCGGGGGCGGAGGGGTCCCTCAGCCTGGCCTGCACCCTCTCGCAGTCCAGGAGCCTTGGGGGGATGTCCAACTGCTGTGGAGGCAGGAGAGGCTCTGCCACCTCCGTTGTGCTCGCCAGCCATGAGCCTGGCATCTGGCTGAGTGATGCTCCCCCTGTGGGAGCATACTGACCACCAGGGGGCAGCTCCTGCATTGAGTGGGATCAGGCTGAAATCAGCTGTTCGACATCCCCAGAGGGGTCCCGGATTGCAAGAGGACACAGGCCAGGCCAAGGGACACCACCGATGCACAATTGTGCCAGGAGGGACACAGGAGGTTGGCCAGCTGGGGAGGGACCATGGGAGGGCTCCAGGGTGTGTCCAGCCCATCCCAATCAGCCGGACCCCAGCAGCAAGCTAACCTACCAGTCAGAGCGTCTGCCCCCGGTGGTCAGTGCACATCATAGCGACTGGTAGACTGCCCCCTGGTGGTCAGTGCACGTCATAGCAAGCGGTTGAGCAGCCTTAGCATATCATTAGCATATTACACTTTGATTGAACAGATGACGGATGACCGGACACTTAGCATATTAGGCTTTTCTTATATAGGATGACAAGAAGTGATGTAGGATAGCAGGGGACAATTATGAAAAACTATTACTAGTACTTTGCAAGAGTTAATATCTTTCTATAGTTGTCTGCCTCAATACCAAGAAATAACCAGGATATGAAAGGGGACAGACAAGTTGAGTCTACTAGTTATCTAATCCTATATAATAAAAGCATAATATGCAAATCGACCAAATGGCTAAACAGCGGAACAACCATCTGGACAACCGTCCGGGACCACACTATGACACTCACTGGTGCCAAGCTAGCCAAGGCAGGCGTGATGTGATTGGTCAGGGGGTCTCGCCATCGCCCCATGATCGCCCTGCAGAGGGAGGCCCAGGCCATTGGTCAGTGGGCTGCAGTGGGTGGGTGGGGCCTCTCGCTGCGAGGGAAGCCTGGGTCCCAGGTACCGGTGGAAAGGAAGGCCTACTCTTGCACAAATTTTGTGCATCGGGCCTCTGCTTCATATATAAACCCAAGTGGTATTTGAATAAACTATCTGTTCAGTAGATCAAACTACTAAGTGTCTATAATTTGTCATTTAAAAATATTTTTAGCAGAAATGAAAATAAGGTGTTGCTTTTCTGCACCAAATTGTTTATTTAGTACATTCTAGGTGATTATAAAATATTTTACAATAGAACTATTTCTTAAATGTTTTAAAATAGTATTATTCATGAAACTTTTTGAAATTTACCATCAGGCCAGTGGTGACAGAGTCTACATAGAACTATGCTTCGTGGTGTTCTGGGGAAAACCTTTCGACTTGTTGGCTATACTATTCAGTATGGCTGTATAGCACATTGTGCTTTTGAATATGTTGGTGGTGTTGTCATGGTAAGTTTTTACTTTTGAGAAAATAATCATTTTAAATATATACTTTTTTAAATAGAAGGAAAATGTGTTTTCCCCTTTATTACAATTGAATTTATTAACTTAATGAATAAAGTTCAACTGCTAAAATAAATTCTAAATTTTTGGATGTAAGAGAATGTATTTGTATTGGCACTGATATGAAATATAAGAACCATTATTTTAAATATGGTTCTGTATTCTCTTTCTGACAGGGCACGAAAGACCCTATTAATACACTAAGAATAATAGTTTATACCATTTATTGAATGCTAAAATGTCCAGGATATATTTGATGTTTTACAATTATTAACACATTTAATCTTTACACTCTGTGAGGTATGTATTAGAAATCCACTATACATATGATGAAACTGAGGCTCAGAAAGCTTAAGTAACTTAGTCCATGTCTCACAGTTAGTAAGTAGACTTGGAATTTCAACACAGACTTTTCTCCAGTTTTCAAAACTGCTCCTCTTAACCATGTGTTTGACTGTCATTAAAACAAATGATTATTCTGCCTTGTATTAATATCAAAATGTGAAGGATGCCCCCGCACCAATGATATTTTTAAATATAGAATTATGAATCTATCAGCCATGACTATACTAACCTTGTATCATGTAAATGAAATAATTGATTGAATGTCTAATTAGTGGGTTTTGTTGGTGGTGTTGCTGTTTTTATCAGGTTTAGCCTAAGAGATTCAGTCATACAACCTCAAATATTCAGCAAATAAATATATTTAACTGAGACGCTCCCCCCCCCCCCTCGCCCCCCCTTGGATTTTTAAAATTTCCAGTAGGCTACAGACGTAGCAAACATGAACTTTCATTGTGTTCTTCATTATTTTCTGCCTGGGTAAGAAGATTTGACTAAAAATTATTTGACTAAAAAGTGGAGTAATAGAGACTATTGTATTTAGACTTTTTAGGTGGCAATGATCACTTTATTATAGCTCTGAGGAATATATACAGAGATTATTGTTTAAAGACATACTAATATGAAGTCTTAAAGTGCATCTTATTATGCCAATATTTTTTCAGTTTAAAATAGAAGTTGCAGCCCCATCAATGGGTGAGCTGCTCTCTTGGAAAAAGGCATCAACTAATTGCGAATAATATGATACCATTTAATAAATCACTGATATTTGACAATAATAAGAAAATAAATCATTCATTTATTCATTCAACATGTTTTTTTTTAGTATCAACTTTATGCCAAGCCCTGGCAACAGGAGAGACAAGGTCCCAAGCCTCATGGAGCTTACTTTCTGCCGAATGCCTCAGATTTGGAAACATATTGTTGTTTTATTCATGTATTATAATGTAATACCAATAAACCATTTTTAATATATTTGCTTGGTGGCCACTCAATAGAGTTGAACTTCTCTGGGAGCTGCCAGCTTATTATGAGTCATCCTCCAGGCATGGAGAACATTGGCTTGATTTCTTTCTTTTAAGCCTGCTAAGATGTTTGTTATATTTAAAAAGGTTTTCAACTCCAATCACAAAATTATGTCTTTTCAGTGTTCTGGACCATCAATGGAGCCTACGATTCAAAATGCAGATATTGTCTTTGCAGAAAATCTTAGTCGACATTTTTATGGTATCCAAAGGTATATTTGTCATAGATATATTAAATTTGTGGTGGAAATACACATAGACATTGTGTCTTTCCTGCAGCCTCTTAACTTTATCTTTAAAAACTCTCCTGTAAATACAAAAGAGTGACAAGCTAGATAAAATTCTGATGCAAATATTTTCTCTCAGTTTTGAGAAATTTTAATAGTTTCTGTGGCATGCATTGTCTCTTAGGTTATTATGCCCCTTGCATCATTGTCCAAAATAGATAGCAGGCACTTTTATTATGTACATTCAAGCCTACCTTATTCTTTTTGGGGGGCAGTGTTTGGCTAGAGTGTTTTGAGGCAAGAGTTAGGAACTTATGAACTACTTTGCATATCCAAATCATTGATTTGGTTTTTCATGTTTAAAATAATCCTATTTCTATTGATGACTATCTTATTCTCAGTGGCCTATGATGAGCACTTGATGACTTTAGACTATAACACTGTATATAGCTGTGAGTAAGGAATCTTATCCTATCTAATAAAGAGGGAATATGCTAATTGACCCTCACATTGTTGCAAAGATGGTGACACCCACAGCCAATAAGGAAGGAATATGCTAATTGAATGCCCCCCCTCAAATATGGTGGCACCCACAGCCAATAAGGCAGGAATATGCTAATTGACCGCCATGCCCTCAAAGATGGTGGCACACACAGCCAATAAGGAGGGAATATGCTAATTGGCTGCCCCGCCCTCAAAGCTGGCGGCTCCCGTAGGCACAAGATGGCGGCGCCCAGTCCCCTCAGCCCTGCCAGGGCAGCAGGTGCATGGCAAGGATGGGCCCACCCCAGGCAGGCCTGGCCTCTTCGCACGCCTGCCTCTGGAGTTCCCCCAGTCCTCTCAGCCCCCCAGCTGCCCAGGGCCGGCCCGAGGCTCAGGTAACCAGGGCCAGCCGAGGCTTGCACTGCCAGCAGTGGCAGCAGCAGAGGTGTGATGGGGTGTCACCTTCTCCTGATAGTTGGGTTGCCTCCCACCCCTGAGGGCTCCTGGACTGTGAGAGGGGGCAGGCCTGGCTGAGAGACGCCCCCTCAGTGCATGAATTTTCATGCACTGGGCCTCTAGCCTATTATGAGTCTCCTGATTAAGTTGAAAAACTCCATGGCAAATATTGTTTGCCACTACTGTAAATCATTTTAAATCCTATTTTAAATGGTGTTTCCAATTCTTAGATACTGTTTGTTCTAGTTAACTCTGTATTATTCCTTCTGAATGCATGTCAAGTATTAGTAATTTAATGTATTTTCTATAGGGTATCTCTCTGATTCCCTAGAATTTGGGGTCCATTAGTTTTTCATAATTCTGCAAAAATAAATTTATATCAGCATTCATCTCCATTAACTACAAATTTGACTCACTCGAGCTGTTATTTAGCTATGACCCAAGTAGGTTTAGGCACTCCTCTTTCATTATTAACCTTCTCAATAGTCTGTTTCACATTACTGAAAAATCATCAAAAATGGTGTGAAACTGTTCTTTGCATTTACTTATCTTACCATCAGATTCTATAGATAGAAACTATCTCTATGTCCAGCCATATGGTCTAGCATGGTTCCTAGGTAATTGTTCTTCAGATCTTTACTACTAACAACTTCAAGATATGGGGGTTATAAAATAAAACTTATGTAATGGGTTGTGTTCTAGCTTTTTCTTTATAACTTATGTCAAAATAATATAGACTGTAGATTAATTGGAAATCTAGCCTCACTATAGCAGAAAGACAAGCTTCTGCTTTCCATGCTAAAGACCTGATTTTACTCTCATAGTTCTTGTGCATCCTTGACAAGGAGCTATAATTGTTGGCTAAATAGTTTTTGAATGAATAGCTCAATATTGTCCTTTTTATTAAATAGATACTCTTTGCATTCAGATGGGTAATACAAATAACTACATTCAGTAAATTAATTCATATTCTTTGAAGGTTTCATTTGTATCCTATTCATTCAAGGGCCCATTAGGTTGAAAAATAGCTCAAAATCTGGCATTTTATGAGACATACTAAAGTAACTTTTACAACCTTAGTAGTCAGTTGGTAGCTTGTACTTTAAAAATATTACTATCCTGAGTATTCTTTTTCTTTCATCTGTAGCACAGATTTCTTGCTTGCTCTATTTCTAAAGCTAGAATAGCCTTCCATTTTTGGCAAAATGAAGTCTGCATATTTGGGATCTAAACCACATGGATTTGGGTCAAATGCACAGGACACTTATACTTGAAACACTGACAGTTTCACTACTTATTCTTTCAACAAATCCTATATAATAAAAGGGTAATATGCAAATTGACCCTAACAGCGGAATGACCAGTCACTATGACACACTGACCACCAGGGGGCAGACGTTCAACCCAGGAGTGGCCCCCTGGTGGTCAGTGCATTCCCATAGGGAGGAGCTCCACTCAGCTGCTGCAAGCGCAGCAGCAGTGGAGGGAGCCTCTCCCGTCTCTACGGCAGCATTAAGGATGTCCGACTGTCGGAGATCCCCTGAGGGCTCCCGGTCTGCTAGAGGGATGTCTGACTGCCAGCTTAGGCCTGATCCCCCAGGTAGTAGGCCTAAGCCAGCAGGTGGACATCCCCTGAGGGTCCCAGACTGCGAGAGGGCACAGGCCGGGCTGAGGAACACCCCTCCCCCCCGAGTGCATGAATTTTTGTGCACCAGGCCTCTAGTAGTTAATGAACACCTAATTCACAAAATATGCTATATGTTAGAATGTTAAGATGAATAAGGTATTGACCCTTCTTTGCAAAAGTTTATAATGACATCAAATTATTTCTGGAACTAGATATAGATAATAAGTAAATATAGTAAATCCTTTCAAATATGTATGTTAGTCAACAGAATTTATTTATTTTAGCATAAAAAGCATTGTGTTCTGGTTGAAGCATTAGTCCTACATTTTTGTCTCCTTCCTTTCTAATTTTTGAAGATCTTATTTTTCTAATACATGTAGATTGTTGCTTCTTTCATGAATCATGCCAATTTATTTTTTGTAGTGTATGTTTGGGCAGCTTTTAGCATGTTATTTGTTTGTGTCTTCTGATATTTTTCCTTAAATATGTATTTTTTTACTATACTATTAATTACTTTGGTTATATAATTCCTTGATACTTTGAGCTCTAGGGAAACAAATGATGTTTCCATCATTTTATGTGCTCTAGAGTCCATCAATACTCCTGGCTGGACAGTAAAATTTACTTAGTTAATTTGGTGCTATTTATATGAAATTGTTTTCCCATACTTTCGTTGCTAAAAATTTAGACACTGAGTAACACAGTAGATACAGTGAAAGAAGATAATTCTTATAGAATGATCAGAAATTTTAGAATCTTCTAATAATGTTTCCATCATCCTCATTGTTGGATTGTAACACATAAAAGTCAGTCACAGAGGTACTCAAAGTTGGTAAATGTCTGGGAGGGCCAGTACAGTGAGAAGATAAAGGGTGTGACTTTAAGTTGCTTTATAAAAGTATTATAGAAATGCTATGCATGTGCTTAATAAATAACACTGACATTTCTTTGACTTTTTCCCTCAGAGGTGACATTGTGATTGCAAAAAGTCCAAGTGATCCAAAATCAAATATTTGTAAAAGAGTAATTGGTTTGGAAGGAGACAAAATGCTCACCAGTAGTTCATCAAGTTTCTTTAAAAGCCATAGTTATGTAAGTAACAATTTCAGTTATGTTATTAATAGTTTATTAACATTAATTGAAAACATAAAAGAATATGACATCTATTTTGAATATAACTTAAAGTGCTGTATTGAGTGGAATTTAAGTATGTTTGTATCAAGAATCATTTGGCCATTATATTTTATATGTTTTAGTTCTTTTTAAAACCCTATATCAATATCTCAGTAATAGTTGTTGCAGGCAAGATTCATCAATAGATATTAAAATATTGGGTAAAATTTCGAGGGAAAATAGTATATTTGCATACTCTCAAAGTATCTCTCCCAAGATATTTATTACAAAGGCAAAAATAGAAACTTCGCAGAGGAGACCCTGGCTGTCACCACCTTTACTGAGTGATCAAGGTTAACTTCACCGATTACAAGACAGATCAACATAGTGTAGCCCCTGAATTGAAGAACTGAGAAGGGCCCATCACTTTTTTGGTATTCTTGCAAAAGGGTATAACCTCAGTCTAATCATGAGAAAACAGCAGACAAACTCTAATTGAGGTTCATTCTGCAACATTACTGACAAATACTCTTCCAAAATGTTAAGGTCACAAAAAACGAGGAAAGACAGGAATTGTGATAGATTGGAGAAGACAAAGGAGACTTGAGTGACAACTAAATGCGGTCTGGGTTCCTGGCTCAGAAACTTTTTCAGTTAATTTATTAAAGGAAAAGCTGGTAAAAATCAAATAAAGCCTGTAGTTTAGCTTTTTAAAATCCTATTTAAGTTTTTAGAATATAAAATACATGTACTTTTTGTACAGTCAATTTACCAGTTAGAAAGATAGAGCAAGAGCAGTAGAATGGCAGAGTGAGGAGCAGGTGTAATGTGTTACCTCCTTTCACCAATCACATGGCTGATAGGGCAGCTTATGGCAGAGGAGGCGGCCTTACTTTACTCAGCATATAAATTTTTCTACCTTAATAATTATAACTGAATTTCTACTTCCATTTAAAATTTGTGTCACTCTCAAGTTATTATAGCTGTTACATCTATTAACTAACTTTACCTCTATCTTCATCCCCAATGTAAGTATAGTATTAAGTGTTAAATTGTCTTCATCACTGTAGATTTATTTTGAACTATAATGGCCTCTTTCTTCTCTATGAGTAAGTTTGATTAATTGATTATTACTTAATCAGTCCATTTATTTACCATCCACAATAGACTATGGGTCAGCTGTTCAAATATTTTTGATGTTTATTACAATAATGTTAAACACACTAGTGATTGTTAGCTGATGGTGATAATAATGTTGAAGATAGTATGGTATAAGGTAACCTATTTTTCTTTGGACTGCATGAGGGACACTGTACACTGTATCCTTTTATTCTTAAAAATTGTTAGATTTTTACATAATGGTTGCACCTTCATATGACTGCTGTCTTTTCATGAGGCTTTGTAATCACTTCTGAATTGCTTTAGCAAGATAAATTTGAAACCAGAAATAATTTGCAATCAGAACAATAAAACATATTAATGTTACTATCCACAATCTGTGTACTTAAATACCACAACATTGTTGCTTTGTTTTTGAGTTATCAGAGGAGGAGTATCAGGACAAAAGGATTTAGATAAAATCTCTGCTAATCAGAAAAGACAACCAGAGGACTGTAAGATGTAGATTTTTTTTGAATATTCTACTTAACGAAAACATTCATCAAATTTTTGTGTTTGATGAATGGATTAATTAGAGGACACTAGTATATAGTTCCTGGTGTATTCCATTCACTTTGGTTTGTATGTTTATAAATGTACAAACATAATTGTAATAATATTGACCAATACTTATGTATTTAATCTGTACCATACACTGTTGAAACTCTTTTACAAGGATTAATTTATTTAATCATCACAACAGCAACACAGAGAGATAGGAGTGGTAGTATTTGACAGATGGAAAAACTGAAAACAGGGTGGTTAAATAAATTGCCCAGTTCATGAGGCAAATAGTTGGAATTCAAACACAAGTAGCCTGGCTCCACCCAGAATCTGGACGCCTTGACATGCCACAACCTCTCCTCCCAAAATATCCTCTACTTGTTTATTTCTACTCCCATCTCACAAAATTGTACTTTCCTTAAAATGTATTGTCTTTATTTTTAAAAAGAAAAGTAACTGTTTTTGTTCAGGTGCAGTATTGATTCTGAATGAGAACCCACTGAATTTTGAAGGTTTTTTCATCCCCACCACTTTTTCTAGGCTGCATTTTTCAAGCCATAAGAATTGTGTAGCTATTACAGAACCACTTTAGCAAATGTGTTCCATTAATCAAGGTGATTTATAACAAAATAGTCATCCAAGTTTGGAGCACTCTGAAGAGATATCCAAACTGTTTGCAGGGTCTGCCCCTCTAGAGTGTTCCCTTTTCCCGCTATCTCAAAGCACACTGGTGCTGTATTGTATGAAATGGGTTTCTTCCCCTACCTATGCATCCTCTTAGAAAAATTATTGTTGTTTATTAGATGAAGACATTATTATTCAGATCTTGATTGAACTAAATGGTAAAGATGATGAATATTAAAAGTGTTTTGAATTCCAGGCAAAAAACATTTATTCCCTAAGTCTATGCTTCAGAGAGCAAAACACCAAAATTGTCATTTGGAACCTAGAATATAGTTTAGCATATGAAAGAATAGCATTGTTCCCAAGTTGGCATAAAATAATATAAACAGATCATTGGTTAAGTGAAGTGGAACCATTTTATTCATTCCAGAGTTCTAAAAGTCCATGTGGCAAGCAACACTTAGGAACTATGATTTATTTTTTACATTAAGCATTTGGAAACAAAGTAGTTCCTATCAAGGTTCTATTGCAGTGGGTTTTGCAATATAAGCTAAGATAAAGCTTAATTTGTGACTCTCAAAAGAAACAAATTGTACTCAGCTTAAACATCTTAAATAACTTACCTTCCTATACTAAAGCAATTTCTCAATTTGCTGCTAGAAGCTTCTAGTTTGCCAAAAATAATTAGTTGCAAGGAGAAACATTAAGCAAATCAGAAATATATAAAATGAATTGGCATGCTCCTATTGATTTGCATGTTAGGCAAAGTAAACGCCTATTTAATGTAGGGGATTTGGGCCAGGACTCAGGTAATGTAGTAAAATTTTGTTATAAAAGCTAATGAGACGAAAAATACTTTATCTTTCTGAGGTTATCCAGTGGTTATTCTAGTCTTCATAGAAAATTTGAAAGATAAGCTACTTCCATGGTAGGGCTACCTGACCACCCTCTAGAATCACAAGTAACAGCTGTAGAAAATATTGGGATGTTTCTGATACTTTGTACCAGGACAGCAGAGTGCTAATGTGTCTTTCCCCAAGTGACTTTTATTTGGAGTGAATATTTTCCAACCCTTTTTACTAAGCAGACTAGAAATTCACTTGGTTTTGAACTGACCGATCAGTTCAGAACAGTGTGAACTAAATCTTTTAAAGTAATGGTAAAATTGACCTACCTTGCTCTTATTTTAAGGGAAGGTTTGGTTGTCAGAAATGCTATGGTGGTTTTGTTATGATGAAGGCCAAGTTGCCCTTGCAAAATGCAGCACCTACTAATTACATTGTGAGCTAATAAGAGTTGTCTACATTTCAGTAGAAAATGCATGTGCCTTTTGGACATTATGAACTACTATACAGGTATTTTGTTATTTTGATCCTTTATTGGTTGGCAAATTAACAGTGGGTAAAGTTGTTCCTTGTAGTTGGTAAATTGCTCCTTTGAGTGTTAACTTTAAGTGGTTGTTCACTGTAAAATGAATAATCGATTTTTAAATCTTCCAAAATTAAAATTTTATTGAATTGCAGTTTCTCAACCATAGCAGCCACTCTGTATTGAAAATGCAAACACTAATAGAAATATGATTATGAAGATTTCAGTATGTTCCTATAGTTAGATCATAATAATCTTTTGCTATTGTTAAAGAAAACATGTTTGTAGTTATTAGAGTGTATATTTTTACTTTTATTATCAACCTCAGACTATCAAAATTCAGACTATTTAAAGCTTTTTGGTTCTTGATACCATATATTTCAGTGTTATACACAAAACGTGAAATTTTTTTTTAATATATTTTATTGATTTTTTACAGAGAGGAAGGGAGAGGGATAGAGAGTTAGAAACATCGATGAGAGAGAAACATCGACCAGCTGCCTCCTGCACACCTCCTACTGGGGATGTGCCCACAACCAAGGTACATGCCCTTGACCGGAATCAAACCTGGGACCTTTCAGTCTGCAGGCCAACGCTCTATCCACTGAGCCAAACCGGTTTTGGCAAAAGGTGAAATATTTACCAAATGTTAGTCTGTTACCACAGAATGATGGTACATGAATAAGGAATGTAGTATTTCTTACATTTTTTGTATTATAGAGTATGCTAACAAGATCATTATTGTTATTGGTGGAATTGTAAGAAATAGAGATAGTTTCACATTTCAGAAAAAACTGATTAAATGTTCCCAGGATGCACAGGTAGTAGAGAGTTCTGAAAAGGAACACTTGGAAATGGAACAATATGCCAGTAATAAAGCTGTTTTATAATGTATTTGAAAATATTTAAATAAAACCGATTAACAAAGTGAAAAACAAGCTCACTAATTTGACAGCATTAGAAAATGGTCACTGGGGTGGATAAATGGTGATGGAAGGAGACTTGACTTGGGGTGGTGAATATACAATATAATGTACAGATGATGTATTTATAGAATTGTACACCTGAAACTTATATAACTTAATTAACCAATATCACCCCAATAAATTCAATTTAAAAAAATAAAATGGCCACTTTGTATAGTTAATACTAATAGCCCCTCAATGTCACTGTGTATTTAGGTTATAGTTCAAATCCTTGAATATCTTAATGCTGTTTTTCTGTTTGTTTAAATGTCATTTACTTCAGCTAAAAGTCACAACCATATGGCCTTCTATTACCACTTATATTATAAACAGAAAAAGTACTTCTGTGTAGGGAGAGGA